CCGTTCGATTCAGCATAACAAATTGCACTTACGGATGCCAAATGCATCACTAAACAACAGTATTCTAACGATTTATGGACTTTGAAAATCAAGCGACATTTTTATTGTTGACAAATTACTCGCCGTTAATTGTCCGACCTTGTATTTGACCTTGTATTTGTAATGCATAAATAGTAATAAGTAATGGCGGATAAAAATATAAGAAATTGCACAGGGGGCAGAAAAGTACGATTGTGTTTTATAAATACCTTGTCATCAACCAATATCCCATATTTATATTACAACAATCCGCAGACATAGTCATAAAAGGATCAAAATTAGCTGATTTTTATTTTTTCGATAATATCATGCCTTCTACTTCATGTAATTCAAACATATTGCATTGCAACGACAATTTCCGAACATCTTACGAAAGGATGCCGAGGGTGTAACCCGTACATAAATTATTTGTACGTGTAAGCAAAGTCAATCGGGTTAGCACTATTTTCCATCCAGCAAACTGACCTGACGTCATCTTCGGAAGATGGAAGAGGTGTTAAATGGCTATGTAACTAACCCAAACCCTACTCTTACTCTAACCCCTAACCCTAACCGCAACCCTAACTCTAACCCTAACCGGATTAATAAAAAATCCAAAAAGAAACGACTTTAGAAAATCGATAGGGCGGTTTGCTGGATGGAAAATAGTGCAAACCAGTCAATCGTTCTAGTATGAGCCCACGCTACTATGGTCAGTCCTTGTAATACAATGTTTGAATTACATGAAGTAGTAGGCATGATATTATCGAAAATCAACATAATTTTCATCGTGATGAAACCTGGATGAAACTATGCGATATATTGATTGATGACAAGGTATTTTAAATAAACACAATCGTACTTTTCTGCCCCCTGTGAAATTGTACTCAACGTAAGAAATTGTACTTATATGTGAATGAGAAATTGTACCTACGGGTTTCAACTGTATTACTAAACAACTGACAACAGTATTCTAGCGATTTATGGCGTTTGTCTTTGAAAGCCAAGCGAAATTGTATTATTTGTTGACAAATCGCTCAAACCTAAAATTATATAAAATGCAATATGTTTGATCCTTGATAACTTTGGTATCGTTGGTTTTCTCTTTTTCGGCCGTATACCAGTGGATTCGTCTCACTTCTCTCTTCATTTTGATAATATTTCGAGCCCAAAAATATTTTAGTTTGGACGTTTTAAACTAGCGGCCAACAGAAGAATGTAGCGTACTACAAAATACAACTTTTAATACTTGTGGGCCATAAACGCCGGAAGTTTTATTTGTACTTGTAGCACAGAATAGCTTGTAGGGTACCGCATTTTAGTGTGTTAAGCTTTCGCACTCGTATTCGACTTTTCCGCTTAGCTCGGGGTCAGGCTTAGATCTTAATAAACCTTTCCCCTTTTCAGTGAAATTTTGATCTAGATTAGCCTGGACAAAAATTTCATCACAGCTTGGAAGAGCATTGCAGAATTAGTAATATTCCGAAGTTTCGTTGCAAAAAGTTGTAAAATGCGGATAATATAGCCTTGCGAAGCTTGCCGTTTTCAGTCATTTTGCAGTACAAACGGAAAATTGATAATCAGATAATGAAACTGATGGTCAATTTCCCATTTGTAATACAAAATGACTGAAAAACGGCAAACTTCGCATTGCTATATTATCCACATTTTAAATATGACTAATTTTGTCATGCTCTTTCAAGCTGCAGGCGCAGAATAACGTACACAGAAGGGCGACTTCTTTGTTTTTCCTATGATTTTCCTATGATTTTGGCAGATTTTGGCGTAACCGTAATTCGTCACCAAATGCTGACGTCATCAAATGCTGACGCCATTCACCCCCCTGATAATACTCAAAATGGCGGACATCCAGGGGGAATGCCTCTCAAACCCGCACTGGCTAGGACCATGGCGTCAGCATTTTGATGATGAATCATGGCGTGGGAGCGGTTACTCGAGTCGACCTTCTGTGTGCATTATTCTGTGCTGTAGGGCCGCCGAGAGCTTGACGGGGTCCGGAGCAAATTTTTCTTAGGGGACCGTATTCAAAAAAAAATTCCGGACGTGTACGTTGTAAATGCTTTTGTGAGAAATTACTGCAAATTTTTCATACCAAATTTCGGTTCTTTGCCCGAAAAAAACAGATATTGTGACCCCAAAACGGAAATATTTCGCGCAAAAAAATGACTGGTGCCCAACAAAAAATTTCTAGGGACCCCCAGAACCTCGTGGCCCGGGGCAATTCCCCCCCCCCCCATCTCGGCGGCCCTGTCAAGCTGTGATGAAATTTCTGTCCACGCCAGTCTAGATCAAAATTTCACTTAAAAGAGGAAAGGTCTATGGAAATATATCTGTGTACTGTATCTGGCATCATATAAAGTAATGTGCGTATTTGTACAGCCGCAGCGAGTTAACGCTCCATAGAGCGTCTTGTTGTTAAACAAATGGCGCACTACATCGTGGTTTTAGGTTCTGCAAACAAACAACACCAAAAGATCTATTGTATGGTATGTAAGATGTAATCATTGTTTTACTGTTTATTGTATATACAGGTCTGGAAAATTTAATAGACGAGAGTTGCAAATCGCTCATAACCTCACGTATATTTTTCGTTTGATAGCCACTATAGTTATAACTAGGAGCTAGAGTATAACCATGCACATGTCGAAGTACAACCATTGTATACAATGCAGTGCTCGATCTTACATGCAACAGTGCACAAATTACACGATGACTTTATTATATAAATCAACAAGCCTGGTTCACATGTGTCTGCGATGTGTCGGCGGGCTATTGTCTTAGCAGTTCAACCAAATAATTCACAAAAGAATGCATCAACAGCTGTAAACAATGACGTCGCAGGCATATCGCAGACATGTGAACCAGGCTTAACAGCAATATAGCTAGATTATAGATTAATTTGTAGCCCAGCCTCCATAGTCCATATAAATTGTAGCCCAGCCTCCATTTACACCAATAATGAAATTAACTCATTCTGGTAACTAGCTCAAATTTGTTGCTGGGAGTGTATGGGATCTATGGATCTTTCAGATCCCAGAATTACCTAATTATTGTAAAGTCTGCATAAAGCAGAAAAAGGCTCTATTTTTGTCAATGACCGGTGCCTATTGAGTGACCAAATATTGTCAGCCTAATCCACTTATTTGATTGCTAATTCATGTTGCATTACTTTTGATTGCGAAGCACCTGGATTACATGATTTGCCCGTAAAATAGCAGCAATTGATAAACTTGAGTACATGGACTGAATGTATCAAGCAGAATGCATGTTGGCGATTTTAAGCGATCTTAGGCGATTTTAGGCGATTTAGGAGAAATTCGACAATTTTAACCCGCGATTTAGTGCGATTTTAGGCGATTTAAGGCGATTTACCGCCCCAGAGTAGGCCTTTTACGATACTTTGCGACGGTTACTTAATTCTACTACGCTGATTGTAAATAGTTGTTTTGTTGGCAATAAAATTAATTAAAAAATACTACGCTGATCGGTCCACCGCCTACACGCGTAAAAACGCACAGCTTGTAACAAGTCTGCAAACAAGTTGTCACAAGTCTGTTCACAAGCTGTCCGCACTGCTTGTTCCCAGTTTGTTGTAACAAGTTTGGAACAAGCTGTTAACAACTTGTAACAAGCTTGATGGCATTATCAGCCTTGTTACAAGACTATGCTAACAAGTTTGTTACAGCCATGATATAACAAGGATGTTACAAGGTTGTCAACACAAGGTTGTAACAATCTTGTTATATCAAGCATGTAACAGACTTGTCAGAACAACCTTGCATCAAGTCTGATAAGTTCGACAAGGTTGTTACAAATTGTTAACAAGTTGTTCCAAACCCGTTGACAACTTGTGACAAGCAGTGCGAATACATCTTGTTGACGGCTTGTTGGCAGACTTGTTACAAGATGTGAGATTTTTACGTGTGTACCAGGCACCATGGATCTATAGTCCTAGATGTTGTGTACTTGTGTTATGCTTTTAAGTTATACCTGCGCCCTCCAGCAATATTTAATTGCACATGCAATCATATCACATATATGACAAAAAAATAATTTGCACTTTCCCTATTCGTGGCATGCACGAAGTTCACCAGGCGTCACGTGCGCATGTAAACGTATACCTGTGCTGTAGCATATTTTATTCATTTCACGATCAAAGTACTGGGTGTTAACGGGAAAGTGTTCTGTGAAGTGCGGATATCTTTTTTAGAGTTAGAGCTGGCAACGAATAGTTTGTACTCGCAGATCGCAAGCACCATATCATATGGTAGTATAGTGACACATATCAGTATTACTGTTGATTCCACTGTAAATAATGCATGTAGCGAATGCGTTTTAGAACACAACACAACGTAAATATATCATGATTAATGTCTCATGTTTGGCAACTTGGGTTTTAGTTTACTATTATATTATTAGAGCAAACGGTAAGCCTTGGAAAATCACGATTTTCGACAAAACAAACGCGATCATCACATGCAGTAACAGTCCAATTTAAATTCCGTTGCAATTTAATTAATAATACGATATTTAACAGTTATTCTACGTACTCGAGTATCGCTCATATTCGACGAGAGTGAGTGGAATAACTGGTTTATTATATATACACAAGGTCTGAATTCACAGACTTTGCTTTTCGGATATTTTCAATATTGTTCTATTTTGTTTATGAATTATGTTTTTATCCTCGCTCTTTTGACAGATTTAATTGTTTTCAAAAATATATATATTTTAACCATTTTAAATTTTACAAATCAAGTTCATTTGCTCACCTGTAAACAATTTGTGGGAATTTTTTCATTGTGTTTTTAATCCCGTAAAGGCCATAAAAAGCGAATAACTTGTCGTTTTCTCGTTCGCAAAACGTCGGAAATTCAGTTTGAGCCGCCATTTTGTTTTTCTCTGCTGGCAGGATATGAGCTGATATCCTGCTAGTGGAGAACCAATCAGATTGCAGAATACCTCATATCCAGACCTTGTGTATATAATAATTATTATTGTCGCGCAAGTAACAAACTCGTTTTAACTATTAGCAAGTTAACTATTGCCAAGCAAACTTCAAAAATCAATATCTTCGTACAAACAAGCGCGCTCTTCTTTACTCGTATACTTGTACAGCACGGACGTTTTAAAGTTGCATATTTCTATAGTCCCATATTTCTATAGTCCCATATTTCTATAGTCCCATATTTCTATAGTCCCATATTTCTATAGTCCCATATTTCCATAGAAACTACTACACTCGTAGCAGTATATTTTTAATAAGCTGAAAATCAATTTTGGGGTTACGCGGGCACTTTAATCTTTGAATGGCCTTAGAATTATATGCAATTTACAATTGGTGTAGACTAAACATAAATTCCCATGCAATTAGCCTTAATCATTCAATATAATAAAAGTTATGCTAATCATCGCAATTTAGGTGAATCTATAAGCCGTTTTTTTGCGGGCAGCGAAAATTAGGGATGCGAGGGAAAAACCGCCTACATCAAAACTGGGTGTAAACGGAATTACCCGTCCACTGGTAAAATGGTTAGTTAGTATTTTAGGTAGTTGTCAATCAACGGTTAAATGTTAATCATTAACCAAATGTGTTGACGTTTTGAAATTGTAATTCCGGTTGGGATTAATTCACAGTCAGAAAAGAAATACCACAATAAAAGATGCAAATTTAGATAGCGACTCGAACAAGACTATTATGAAGAATATGCGTGTGAAGTTATGTTCGGCGAAAGGTATGGCTATAGTCTATATTTTTGTTCAGACAATTGCGTATTTGATAATATACGATCTCGCTTGACTTTCAAAGGCCATAAATCGCTATAATGTTGACATTTTACTAAAACTATCGATAGAAAGTAAGAGATATTTCTTCACTGAATCGAACAGTGGGATTTTCATCAACATACTGTAGCATGTACTGAACCAAAGATACGAACCTCCAAAGTAACCAGGACGACTTCGACCTGGTTTAATGACCCTCACACGAAAGAGTTAAAGTACATGAATAGGATGGGAGTGGCTAATTTTGAATATTCACTTGATGACATTTATAAAAATCTTTGATGCTGTCAGGGGCGGTAATTCATTTACACCCAGTTTTGATGCAGGCGGTTTTTCTTCGCTTCCCTAATTTTCGCTGCCAGCAAAAATCGGCCGGCCACGCAGGCTAAGCGCTAGGTGAATCAGGCGACCGTTTTCTACACATTGGCCGTTTTTATACTAGGGACGCATTATGCGTCCAGACGAACTTGGCGGGCAAGCATTTATTGTTCGTCTGGTTATACGTCCTCAGTATAAAGACGAGCACAAGACGCATCATGCGTCTAGACGAACTATGTTCGATTCTTCGTCTTAATTAAGAGACTCGCACAACCGATAGTTCGTCTAGACGCATAATGCGTCTGTGCGTATAAAGACGGCACAAGACGAATGATCCAACAAAGCGAGACCGTCAGGATACAAAAAGCCAGCGATTATTCGTTAAAAATTCAACATGGCGGCTACGGAAAATAATGTTTCGGCTGCTTCCCCAGCTGTTCGACTGTTTCAACATCAAAAAAGCAGCGAACGTCTCGTCAGTGGACTAATAGAACTCAAATACTTTGCCCTTGCCAGTGTACGAAAAGACCGAGTTTGCATACAGACTTGATACGCTTGCAGTGCTTGCCCACAAGAAAGCGGCTAAAAAACCGGCTGTATTCGAAGAACTGTATGCTCAACTGAATTAGAAGAAATCATGCATATTTCATCATGAAATATGCATGATTTACTAGAAGTATATAGAATAAGTTACTATCGCAAGGAAAACCCCAAGGGATCAAAGCCAAAGGCAGCATGCGCAATTTGCTCTGTCAATCTCCATGTCTTCGCCGATGTTCCTTAATGCTGCCCATTTTTCTAGTATTTGTGTTTTCACTAGAAGTTTAATTCTTCAATTGTGTGTATATTTAAAACAAGAAACTTCCCGCGCTTGCGTCTCAGCCAATCAGGTACAAGTAATTTTACCCTGAATAAAGAGAAAATGCCCTCATCATTAACCTACCATATTCGAGTAATTTTGCCCTCTATATGATTAATATGAAAATAACGGTCGCTCAAGGTTGTATGAAATTGGTCATTTGGTCCGTTCGAGTGATTTGTTGCCGAAAACATTTGGTTTTGTTATCGTTTTGGTTCCTCCTCGAGTGTCTCCACAGCGGCTTGCCGGACCGCAGCGCCGCAAAATTAGCCTTATCATGCACATAGTTACGTAATGCAAAAATGATCGAGGCAATAATACACGAGATATCTCAAGGGTTCAATTCAAAAGATGCTTCAAGGGTTGAATTCACTGATCTTAATGAGAAAAAAAAGAATTCTTAGTACAAGATAAAAATACTTAATGTTCCCAAGCAACTATAGTTCCAACAGAGATTTTATTCCAAAATATTTGAAATATTTTCACAAAAAATTGAAAAAGATTAACTGGTGTATAGCCTAGTTATTCAAATCATTCTCATGACACAACACAGCATTTTAATTTTGGCAAGAATTTGGATTGAAATAATAGACAATATACTGTACGACAAATGGGGTTGTGGAACTCCACTTTCATATGGCTCCACAAATAAATGCTTTTGGGCTGTAGGAATTTTAATAAGGAAAGTTATTGAATTCAGTCTTATTCAACATTTTTATTTTCAACAAAAATATGAAAATACGTTCAAAATCTTGTAAGTTTATAAATGAAACGAAATACAGTGCCAAAAACGAAATACGTGGCAAAAAAGAAATACCTAGCAAGAGCCAAAACAAAAGAAAAAAAATTATGTTGCCATGTCATTCAAATACATGCATGCAGAACCCCTTGCCTCGCTAGCAAAACCACTATATTTTCCAAACATGAAGTATTCGAAGTGGTTGGTAAGCACGAACATTTTATTCTTTGTATTTTTAAATTGAAAAAGCTCCAAAAATATCACTTTTAATTACAAAATCATCAAGTGCCCAAATATACATGTTAGGTATACGTTATCATGCATGTGTATAATATAAGCTTCAATTTAATGTAAAATTCAACCACAAACGCTTCGGAAAACGTTTTGAAATGTTCATAAAACTAAACTGCCTTTTATTGATAAACTTTGTGAGTTTGAAATAAAATGATCTCCTCTTTATTTAAAGATTCTTAAATTAATAATCCAAAATAATAAAAACGGTATAAATTTATTAAAATACACTGAATACGAACTGTCTGTTTTCATTACACACAACATCATTCAATATTTAAAGCAAACTTACCTTATGTATAGGTTTTACGATTTCCAGCAATCTAATGTCCCTGAACTTTTGTGTCATTAAATTAAAGAGTTTCTGAATGTTTTTCACCCCCCCCCCCAAAAAAAAAATTCCACTCTTTTCACTCCTGAAATTCGCCATAATTTTGAGTCAAATTAGCACCTGCAAAGGTGTTAAAATAACTCCATTTTTAGTGTCATAATAGCACCCTTTTCGGTGTTGTTTTAGCACTCTAACCTTAGTGTTAAAATAACACTCAATTTTAGTGTTATTTTAGCATTACCGAGTATTAAAAATGTATATCCCTTCTATCCAACACACAAAACAATTAATAAAATAATCTGTTGAAAAATTTATTTACATTATACTTTACAGCATTACTTATCTATGTCATATATGAAGTTTATAGTAAATTCAGAGTTATTGCACCTAAGGTTTACACTATATAGAAACGTTCACAGAAATAGACCATGATTGTGACGCCATAACTCTCCTTGTACTACACTCTAGTCATTAAAGATAAGGACAATACCGTAAACTTCCAACTATAAGCCCTGGGCTTACATTCTTTCGTAAGCGATTTTTGATGGGCGTATACATGGACAATCTTTTGTGTTAGTTTAACAGCAATAAACAAGTATAGTAATAGTGATA